TAGGGTAGTCTGTGCATTAAGCATTTGGCACTGAGTTTTCCCATATAACAGGAACCGATGAAAGAGCATCCGAGGTCCCACACTATCTCATTGCCTGGGAGAGGATTGGGGTTCTGGTTGGTTAAATACCCCAGAATTCCTACCTCTCTTATGGCTTTGAAGTATAGTGTAGTGGATACAGCATGCAACTGCCACCTTGTTGGCCAGTGTTCGAGTCTCCTGGTGGGTTGAGTGTCTAAAAAGTTATACACTTCAGCTACTGGAATAGGGTAGTCTGTGCATTAAGCATTTGGCACTGAGTTTTCCCATATAACAGGAACCGATGAAAGAGCATCCGAGGTCCCACACTATCTCATTGCCTGGGAGAGGATTGGGGTTCTGGTTGGTTAAATACCCCAGAATTCCTACCTCTCTTATGGCTTTGAAGTATAGTGTAGTGGATACAGCATGCAACTGCCACCTTGTTGGCCAGTGTTCGAGTCTCCTGGTGGGTTGAGTGTCTAAAAAGTTATACACTTCAGCTACTGGAATAGGGTAGTCTGTGCATTATACATATATATATATATATATATATATATATATATATATATATATATATATATATATATATATATATATATATATATATATATATATATATATATATATATATGTCGTACCTAATAGCCAGAACGCACTTCTATGCCTACTATGCAAGGCCCGATTTGCCTAATAAGCCAAGTTTTCATGAATTAATTGTTTTTCGACTACCTAACCTACCTAACCTAACCTAACCTAACTTTTTCGGCTACCTAACCTAACCTAACCTATAAAGATAGGTTAGGTTAGGTAGGGTTGGTTAGGTTCGGTCATATATCTACATTATTTTTAACTCCAATAAAAAAAAATTGACCTCATACATAATGAAATGGGTAGCTTTATCATTTCATAAGAAAAAAATTAGAGAAAATATATTAATTGATGAAAACTTGGCTTATTAGGCAAATCAGGCCTTGCATAGTAGGCTGAGAAGTGCGTTCTGGCTACTAGGTACGACATATATATATATATATATATATATATATATATATATATAATGTCGTACCTAATAGCCAGAACGCACTTCTATGCCTACTATGCAAGGCCCGATTTGCCTAATAAGCCAAGTTTTCATGAATTAATTGTTTTTCGACTACCTAACCTACCTAACCTAACCTAACCTAACTTTTTCGGCTACCTAACCTAACCTATAAAGATAGGTTAGGTTAGGTTAGGTAGGGTTGGTTAGGTTCGGTCATATATCTACATTATTTTTAACTCCAATAAAAAAAAATTGACCTCATACATAATGAAATGGGTAGCTTTATCATTTCATAAGAAAAAAATTAGAGAAAATATATTAATTGATGAAAACTTGGCTTATTAGGCAAATCAGGCCTTGCATAGTAGGCTGAGAAGTGCGTTCTGGCTACTAGGTACGACATATATATATATATATATATATATATATATATATATATATATATATATATATCGTACCTAGTAGCCAGAACGCACTTCTCAGCCTACTGTGCAAGGGCCGATTGCCTAATAAGCCAAGTTTCCATGATTAATTGTTTTTCGACTACCTAACCTAACCTAACTTTTTCGGCTACCTAACCTAACCTAACCTATAAAGATAGGTTAGGTTAGGTTAGGTTAGGTAGGGTTGGTTAGGTTCGGTCATATATCTACGTTAATTTTAACTCCAATAAAAAAAATTGACCTCATACATAATGAAATGGGTAGCTTTTATCATTTCATAAGAAAAAATTAGAGAAAATATATTAATTTAGGAAAACTTGGCTTATTAGGCAAATCGGGCCTTGCATAGTAGGCTGAGAAGTGCTACTAGGTACGACATATATATATATATATATATATATATATATATATATATATATATCTCACTGAAAACTCACATCCATAATGCCAGGAGCACTCTGCAATCTGGCGTACAGGAACCTTAACCACTCGACCAACACGACCGGACAAAAGAGGATGGTAGCCAAGGCTATTTCCATCCCCCCACCGGCACTCGGTTGGTAATCTTGGGCATGGTATTCAGTGGCATATATGCCTGGAGACCGTTCAGGCTTGTTCGCATATATATATATATATATATAATATATATATATATATATATATATATATATATATATATATATATATATATATATATATATATATATATATATATATAATTTAATAGGGAAGGGAGTACCACCTCTGGCTGGAAGAAGGGGACCCATAGCCTCGGAGGAAACCACACATAACGCATTGGAGGGAATGTGGGTCCCCTCCAATACAGTTTCTGTGTGCTTTTCTCCTACCACCCCCTTCCCTTTTTTTTTTTTTCCTTTATTGTGTATTTAAAGGTTACAAAACATACAAGACAAATGCCTAAAGGTTATGGATCTCTTGAAGCTCCTCCGCTTCTGGACAGGAACCGAGGACGCAGCAAGCATTTCCCCTCTGGATCGCCACACTGAGACGCTGAAATAAAAAACTGGAAGCCCTTGGGTCTCTGGTGACGTCAATGAGCTTGGACCCCAATTCCTTGAGAAATCCCAAGGCACTCTTGCCCCAGGGGCCATGCGTCTCAGACGCTATGGGAACAAAGAGGTATTGACCTTCCAGTCGCCTGTACTTGAGTGATTTTGCTGTTTCCCTGTGGTTGGCCGCCCCACCTGCTTGATCAGCTCCGAAGTGTACATAGTGTCAGCCAGGGTGGATACACATGTGTAGTCCCACACCAACTGTCTACCCTCCTTCCATGAGTATATGGTGATGCCATCAGGGCGAAGTGCTGGGAAATCCGGGTTTTGGACCCCTAGGATGCGAGGTTCTCTCTCCGCTGGGCACCCAGCTGAGACGATATATATATATATATATATATATATATATATATATATATATATATATATATATATATATATATATATATATATATATAGGGGGGGGCAGAACTACCACAGTCAGGGTGTTATAGCTTCTCTACCGACCAATTATATAATCTCTCTACATTATTGTTGTTCTCTACAAAGTTCAATTCATTTTCTCTATTTTATTACTTTTCTTTACAAGTTCAGTTTGCTCTTTCATATTCTTACATGAGCTCTGCACGTCTCATTACACTTCTCCGTGTTCTTAAATATTCTCTATTCCATTCTCATTTTCATATTCTCATTATAAATATTCTCATTCAATTCCATATTTGTGTGTTCCCTCCATATTCTTAAATATTCTGCAAATGTTCATTCTATATTTGAACAAATAAATATTAGTTTTTGCAAATAAATATGGAATGAACAATGTCAATGTATTTCTCTTTATCAACTTAATATTTCATACTAACACTGTTCTTAAACAAAACTACACTTTATGCAGTAACAAATTTACTAAGACAATCTTTTCTTAATGTTTCTTAAGTAACATTACACTTCGCACTACTGAAAATAGTTTAAAGAATACATAATTTCGTAACTTGTATTACTCTTTACGCAGTTTACTAAAACTTTCTATTCATGCCATATGTTAAGTAAGAAAACACTCGAAAATAGGTTAAGGTATCACCTTTACTTCGCTTCTTAATTAACAGTAACCCAGCCACTTTGACTGGACGGTAGAGCGACGGTCTCGCCTCATGCAGGTCGGCGTTCAATCCCCGACCGTCCAAGTGGTTGGGCACCATTCCTTCCCCCCCCCCCCCTCGTCCCCTCCCAAATCCTTATCCTGACCCCTTCCCAGTGCTATAAAGTCGTAATGGCTTGGCGCTTTCCCTTGATAATTAAAAAAATGACTAACAGTACTCTTTTGTAAATTAAATAAATTATTGCAGGTAACTTCACAAAGTTTTTTAACACAAATATTTTTCCTACATCAAAGTAAACGTTCTAAGACCTCTTCACGTGTCAATGATATTCTCCGAGCCACCAATTATATAATCCAGAGCTCTCTTTATATAAGAATGAATCTCTCTCAGGCATCTTCTTGTAACAATGATTCTCTCTGAGATATCTTTACACATCAAAAGAAACTCTTCAAGATGTCAAGGATACTCACAGAGACATCAAGGATAGTCTCTAAGTTACCTACATGCGTCAAAGAAACATTCTAAGACATCAAAGGATGCTCTCCAAAACATTTTTAAATCTCAGGGGAATTGAACTGATAATAATAAAGTTACAGGATTGAACTAAGGCAGAGGACAATAGCTGGAGCTTGGTAACTCTATTTTCTTTCCGAACTACGTTCGAAATACAGCGGATTTACATACCTCGAAAATTGGGCTAATAGCAGCGACGTTGTAGGCGACAACTAAGGCGGAGGACAAGAGCCAGAGCTCTGTAACTGCCTTCTTGAGGTTATCTTGAGATGATTTCGGGGCTTTAGTGTCCCCGCGGCCCGGTCCTCGACCAGGCCTCCACCCCCAGGAAGCAGCCCGTGACAGCTGACTAACTCCCAGGTACCTATTTACTGCTAGGTAACAGGGACATTCAGGGTGAAAGAAACTTTACCCATTTGTTTCTGCCTCGTGCGGGAATCGAACCCGCGCCACAGAATTACGAGTCCTGCGCGCTATCTACCAGGCTACGAGGCCTTGGTCTTATTTAGTACGTCTGAAATATGACTGTTTTCAATTCGGCAAAAATTGGGCAAATTGTAGTGAAGTTGTGAGAGAGAAGTAAGGCGGAGGAGAGGAGCCTCGATGGAACTGATGGAACAGTAGAGACTGAATATTTTTTACATAACAATTCATTAACATGGAAGAGAGTATTTTTTCCTATGAGAAATATTAAAGTCCGCAGCGGAAAATTGGGACTCTGATAAAATTTCACTTAAAACAGGTGGCAACTTGGTGCAAATTATTTCCAGGACAGACTCTCGATCCTTTAAATGTGGCAACTTAGCGAGAACTTGCACTAAGAACAAAAGTGTTCGCTCTAAGTTGTCAATCCCTCTACTCCCCTCCACACAGCTCATTGTCTGTCACTCACATGGTGGCCGTGGGTGACACATGGTGGCCGTGGGTGCTGGGTGACACATGGTGGCCGTGGGTGCTGGGTGACACATGGAGGCCGTGGGTAACACATGGTGGCCGTGGGTGCTGGGTGACACATGGTGGCCGTGGGTGACACATGGAGGCCGTGGGACACATGGAGGCCGTGGGTGCTGGGTGACACATGGTGGCCGTGGGTGCTGGGTGACACATGGTGGCCGTGGGTGCTGGGTGACACATGGAGGCCGTGGGTGCTGGGTGACACATGGAGGCCGTGGGTGCTGGGTGACACATGGTGGCCGTGGGTGCTGGGTGACACATGGTGGCCGTGGGTGACACATGGAGGCCGTGGGTGACACATGGAGGCCGTGGGTGCTGGGTGACACATGGAGGCCGTGGGTGACACATGGAGGCCGTGGGTGACACATGGAGGCCGTGGGTGACACATGGTGGCCGTGGGTGACACATGGTGGCCGTGGGTGACACATGGAGGCCGTGGGTGACACATGGTGGCCGTGGGTGACACATGGAGGCCGTGGGTGACACATGGTGGCCGTGGGTGACACATGGAGGCCGTGGGTGACACATGGTGGCCGTGGGTGACACATGGTGGCCGTGGGTGACACATGGTGGCCGTGGGTGACACATGGTGGCCGTGGGTGACACATGGTGGCCGTGGGTGACACATGGTGGCCGTGGGTGCTGGGTGACACATGGTGGC